CCATATCCAAATAACCTGGAACCCAAAGCTCATCAGCAGCTAAGCGGGAAATTTGTTAAATAATGACAGTTCGACGCGGGCGAATGCGTTGGTTGCATAGGCATTTTTCTGGTTTTTCCCATGTGTAGCATAGATACGACTCAATTTCTCCTAGAAAGTTCTCCGCGAAGGCATCCCTCCTCATAGGCAAATAGCCTTCTAGCTGCTTTGTCTCAATTGATTAACATGGAACCTGATGTACTTTTTTTTAAATCTAACTACTATAAATTAATCAAGCATAAAATATGAAACAATTTTAAATGAGACACTGTTAGGTCTAAGACAAAATAAACACATAAACTAATTAAAATTTTTATTCTGTTGAATCTTCTTTTACTCTTTGCACTTAAATAAAAATAGTAAAAGACGAGTAAACGTATGACACTTTCTCATTATGTACATCCTCCCCCGAAAAAGCCCCACCTCAATTGACGACTTTGTTGAACTGGCAAAAAAAAATTGGTTCTCGCTACCACTCGTACATACTGTTCTGTTTATATTGTAGGGTAATTAGGTTTTTTGATGTGGAAGACTTAAAATGGCAATACCCTCGCCAAGACTCGAACTCTCGAATACGCGCTCTTTGTAATATCTTCTCTACATATAATAAAAGAAAGAGTCTGTCTGTGTGTGTGTGTCTTTCGTTTGCGCAGCGCGTAAGCTAATATACCCACGGCTACGAAATTTGGTGCATAGGTGCATCTAGACAAGAGCCAGTGCACCTCGAAGCGATTTTTTCGAAATTCGAATTAGAATTTTTTTTATTTTATGTTTTGTGACGAAATCGCGTCATTTTGAGACGTAATGGGCTATAGGAAGGCGAGATTTTACTCTACACACTCCATTTTCACATCGTCATAAAATGTAGGTACTTAGCTATTTTACGAACTTAAAATAAATTTCGTGTTTCAATAAATCGATTAAATACGGATTTATTTAACAAAGCGAGCTTAACACCTTTTCAAAGGGGATTTTTTCTAAAAAAGTTTATTTTTAAAGGTCAGTTTTATTTTCTTTGATTTTTGGACACGTTAAACTTTCATCCTTGCGACTGCTTTTACAAAAAGACTTTTGGAAAAATGATAATATTTTGTATTTAAAAAAAAATTTTAAATGAAGCTTCCGAGTATACTTCGTACATCTTTAAAAATGTGATTTTGGCAACAATTTTCCTTTCTTATTGTTGTTGATAGATTTTTGGTGAAATCGCGTCATTTTGAATAGTTTCATTCTTTTAGCAATATGGGTTTGGCAACAATTTTTCATCGTATTTCTTATGTCACTGTTTTTAAGAGATTGGTATATTTCATTGTCATATTTTTTATATATATCTTATATACATTTTTATTGATTTTTTTTTTGATAAAGTTGTTCTGCAGAGTATAATTTTGCACGGAAGTTTTTGGTTTTGAGTTTCATTCATGTTATTTTTTGCTTATTTCACTGTCTGTAAGATATTGAAAAGTTCTGATTTTTTTTCTTCAACGGAAAAGTTGGTTAATTTTTTATTAGAATAATTAATATTTATATTAAGGGATATAGCTTATTTCATTGTAATTTTTTTTTCTCTTGAAAATATAAGATAAAATATCATTAATTTGCTTTTCAGAATTTTTATTTATTTATTTTTTTTTGTATTCTTTTATATATTTATTGCTCATTTCACTGTTTTTAAGATATTGAAAAGTTTTGAGTGATTTTTTTTAGGAAACAAAGTTTTTAACCTCCTTTATACCCTTTGAGTTCTTAAGATTTTGCAAAGGGAAGTTGATTAATTTATTTATTAGGATAATTAATATTTGTATTAAGAGATATTGCTTATTTCCTTGTAATTTTGTTATACATAATAACTTTTTATTATGAAGTTGTTCTGCAGAGTAAAATTCTACGCAGTTTTTAAATTGAACGTTTGGTGTTCCCTTCAGCCATTTTTCCGGTACATTTAAAAGCCAGACGAAGGCTGGCAGCGAAGCTGCTAGTATGATAATAATTGGCGCCATTTGTAGCGAATCGTTGAAACTGTTTAGTGCGGGATCCCAGGCGAAACTTTCTTTAGAAATCAATTTCCAGAAATTTTCAGGGATATCACACTTTTTAGTGCGGTAAAATGGGTCTTCCTGAAGATCACAAACTTCCCTTTGGAAGTGGCAGAGCACATCACTCACTCCAGTCTCCTTGGGGGTGTTTACTTGAATTAAGTTCAAAACTCAATCTAAATGTGAAAGCATTTGCAATTTCCAACTTAAATCCCTTTTGCCCATGTTTATAAGATACACCCCCTTTGATTTCTGTCAGTTTTGAGCGGAATATTTCCAAATACAACTATTTACTTTTCAAATTATACAAATGGTGAGAGTTTTTCAATGCAACAGATTTGTTTAAAGTCCTCTAAATGCCAGATTTACTGTCTTATTTATCAGTTATACTATTTAATTTAGTGTGAAATTATTACTCATTCAAGAATAACTATATTATCTTAATGTTTTAGAAGGGAGTAAAGCCATTTTATCTGCACATTTTTGTATGCATTTTCAGAAACATTTTCGACAATAATTTCGCACGTGAATATCCTGTTTTAGTGACAAGAGTTGGTAAAGGACTGCAGACAGATGTAGTTGACTTCATTAAAACTGTATCAACAATATCTTACTTACACGTAGAAAGGAAATGTACGATATGTAAGATAACGTCTCACACAAGATGCGCTTCTAGATACAAAGAAAGTAAGTTGGTGCGTCTCTGTACCAAAATGAAGAATATTATGGCAAAGGGCTCACTTTGAACTGAATTAACATTATGAGAGATCGCAAGTTGAGTCTCGTCTGAATTAGAGATATAGCAATCAATCAAATTTAATAGTTCTGTATGTTGTCATGCCTATTAAATTTCAAAGTTGTAAAATATAATTGAAAGTTATTTTGAGAATGTAATCGGCCTTCGAAAAAAAAAGGTATTAAGTGCATTTATTTTGCACTAAGAATGGCCATTTAAAGTTCTTTGGTAGCAATTTATCCTTTTATATCCCTCTAAAACCAAAGCATAATTTTGTCATAAATTTGCCCAAAGCAGATACATTAAATTTCATATTATGTAAGAATGATTTTAATGAAATTTAATTTACTTAAAAAATATTACTTTCAGTGGAAGCTCCTAATTTTCACATAAACGCCCCCAACTGATGACAGGAGGATGGAAAACTAACAAATGAAAATAGTTTTGAAGGTTGCTTACGCTTAATTTTTCTAATACATTTTCTATATGTTTTTTTATTCCATCTGAATATTTTTGATAATTTGTTGAATTTAAGCTATATTTTAGTAACGTAAATATTTGGTACTTTTCATTTCTATTATTTTATTTATCACAGCAATTTGCTTTTTGTTTGCATTATACTGAACCCCTGTGTTCACTTAGATTTCAGAATTTATTTTTGAAATAATGCTACTCACACTTTAGTCGGGTTTAATCCGGACAGCTTTTTACTTCGAATAATTTACCAATAGCCTATTTAATCACTGATTAGCCGGTTTTTAAAGATACAGAGATTTCAAAGATTTACAGATATAGAAAAAGAGAAATATATTAATTCAAAGCAGAGCTGTTGATTTGAAGCAACTTGAAAATTGCTTGCAAAGATATAATCATACAATAGGAAAAAGAAGTGAATCTGAAAGAAGCAGTTAAAAAATTAAATAATTCTAAATAAGAACAACTGTTGTATTTCTGTATATCTATAGTTTAAAATTTTCTTAATTATTTTTCTGCATACCTAATTTACTATTATCAGATAATTTACTATTTATTACATGCAATGTGTGACTGCTAACGAATCGGTGATATATAGGATTTTATTAGCTATTTGTACACACATGCTATATGCTGTGTATATTCAGATTACATGGTACAGTACGCACATATATTGTGCTTCTGAATTTTATAACATAGAACGAAAGAAAAACAACTAATGGTTTTTGAAAAGAAATAGAACATTAATAAAATGGGGAAAATATATAGATACTTGTATACATTTATTTCAGAAGCTATGGATTTTACTGTGGAACCATCATGTTCTGAACAACACGAAGTGCCAGCGCCTGCCTTTCTGTTGAATATTGTTTTATTTTCAAAGACGTAGTGGTGGAATGATGTCAAATTTCCCTTCTTGAAAGTTTCATTCCATATTGTAAGCTCAGCAGAGAGAGCGTTGATGCAGTTCTGTGGATTCCTTGTAGTTCAGAATTGGTAATTCTGCTTATTGGCATTAATAATACTACCATATCAATGAAATGTTGCATGGACTAAACCTAGAATTCCCGACTGTACATTTGACATCGTGACATTTTGCTGTAACAATGTCATGTAGTGGACATTAAAAGGAATCTCATTTAAAAACAAATATTTGTGACGCACAGTATACTGCCATATGGTTGAAGGTGGCTAGTTCTTTTAGTAAAACGTTGTCTGTCTTGTAATTGTTTGTTTTGATTATTCAATGAAAAGGATTTAGATACTTTTCTGAAAAATGCATAAAGTTGAATGCGCTTATAATAACTGAATTTCCAGTTCTTGGTTTTCAGCCCATTGATTTCACATAACTAATAGACGGAGTAATGAAATTGAAAGTTTTCTATTAAAATGTGTAGGAAGATAAACCTTCGGTAAAGCTGCTTTTAAAAGAACAGAAAATTTAATCTAGATTCTTGCTTTATGTTTTAATACTGTCTTTATCATTTTATTTTAAAAAAATGCTTAAAACTTAATTATAAAAAATAATCTTGATGTACAGATTCATCTTTTATCGAAAGTTTTCATAACGTTGAGAAGCCTTCAGATTATTGCTACTCATCTTCAAAATTTAAAAAATTTGTGAATAAAATATTTTCAATTTTCAGAAATATTCCTTGATATCTGCACAAAGTGACAAGAATAATAAAGGAGATATAAATATATTACATTTAGAATAATATTTTTATTTCTATATATGCACAAATATATTCACAGCACATGTAGTTTTATACAACACATTAATTATATTACAATATTTACATATTTTAAGACTATTTATACAACATCGTAATTAAAAAAATGAATTCTTATTTATAAAGATACTCAATTTGATTGAGCGAGTGACATATGTGATGCATAATATTGATTCTTAGATAGTCTGCAAACTACTATTAAAGAATCATTATTACTTATTATATATGAGAAAAATATCCGTTGATGCGAAAGACTGTTTTAGATCAACATTTATTGGCCAATCGTTTAATACCCAATCTGGTACGAATATAGTTTAATAACTGAATCATGCAATTTTAAAATTTTTTAGTGATAACTTCATTCTTTTGAAAAATGTTTACCTGGTTCATTCCTTTTAGAATAAAAAACATTGAACATTAAAAATTTACTCCAAAGAGTTGTGATAGTTAATTAAGCTTAAATATGGGCACAGGCTAGCCCACCCAGCAAAGGCAAGCCTCGCCATAGGGCCAAAAATAGGCTACCCAAGTTCAACAGCAAATGAAGGCTTCCAGTGATCCAGTCGTATGACATTACTAATATTTAGCCTAAGCTAATGTATATGATAAAAAGCTAATCATTTATCCTAACTACTAAAATAAGTAACATATCATTGAGTAAGTAATATATTTTTGGCGTGATACTAAAGGAAAAAAGTAACGTAACAATACAGAACAGGAAAATGTACGCATGATATCAGCATTTTACCAGATGATGAAACCGGTATTGTCCCAGAATAATTAACTAGGTAATAATAGTTTGAGTAGAAGCCGGGTTTAACCCTTGTGATAACTTGCAGTGAGCTCAGATTATTGTTGACTACAGGCACTTTGTTTTAAAATTTTCGCTAGATAAATGTAATTGTAGAAGCTGTACACGTGTTTGTTATAAGACGTTGAGACATTTGATGAAGCGTATTATACATATAGCGTTAGCAATGGGAATCTGAAAATTCGGTTGATCAATGCATATGAAAATTATATTTAATGTTCCTTTCCGTCGCTGCTATTTTCATTACAACTGTCATCATCTTCGTATAAGCTAACATTTCCATTTCTTAGACAAGGAGATAAATTAAGGTTTGATCCTGATGAATGTGTACTTGAGGCATCTATCTGCTTGTTTATTGACAGGGAGTGATTTTTCTCATTCCTTTCTCTATCTTCTAAATCTTGCCTTTTTTGTTTCGTCCTCCTGTTTTGAAACCAAACTTTAACCTAAAATAAATAAAATAAAATGAATGAAATGAAGTGCTTTGGATGGCTTTTAAAATGAAACTTCGTTAAACACCAGTTCATACAAGAAAATTATTAAAATTTAAAGCAAACGGCTTTTCATTGTGCAGCTCTCTATATTAAAATATTTAGCTTGCTAAATGCGAAATTTCTTACCAAACGGTTTCAAACTTCCATTAGCTTAAAATACCTGCGTTGGTAAGTTATATCAGGTGAAGTCCTTAATTATATGAAAAGTAAACAACAGTATCATAAACAAAAGATTGCCTATGGTAGTATGAAAACTTAGTTACGAGGACAATAATAATAATAATAAATTACTCTATCTAATTGGATCTCATCAAAAGATGTTACAAAATAAAACAGAACACTTACTGCCAACTTCCGCTAAAAGCCGGATTAAGACTTTTAGAAGATTTAAGCATTTAAAAGATTTTAATTCTCTTAAACGACATTTACATCAGTTTTTTTCCCCCTATTCCTTCTGTCGATTTTGGTTTATTTTATTATGGCAAAGCATTCGAGGGTTATCTGCCCAAGGAAAGGGATGCCTTCGTGGAGGACTTTTTAAGGGAAACTGGCTCTTATACACGTTGCACACGGGGAAAACTACGAAAACGCCCATGCAGCCAGTCCATTCGCCGGGATTTGAGCCACGGACCGAATTTAGTAATTCGGTCCGGGTGTTCAGCTGCTTTACCGCTCGTCCGCTGGTGGGCCCGATCTTGATTTAACTGCACCATATATTTTATGGTAAAACTATAGAGTATTAGGTTAATTGGAAGCAGAAAAGATGAAAAATATGCAACCGCCTTCGCCGGGAATCGAACCACGAACCTCTGGAATACCGGCCCAGCGTGCTACCACACCACGAAGGCACGCTAGGGAAGTGGGAGAAATACCTTATAAAACCGGCAATGGGAAATTTTGTTATGCCCATTTCCTGAGTCCCTAAGCACCTTTTTGTCGTGTCCCCTATCCTTGATTCCTCAAGCACGCACTTATTTTGCTCAATGGTTGACCTGCTCTGCTTCCATTGTAAACTGACAGAATCAAAGTATTCTAAATTGCCCGAGTCACACTTCAGATTTCTGAAGCAAGTTCGGTGGAATTTTAATTCAGAAAAGGCAGAATATTTTGTCACGAAGTATATCTAAAATCTCTAAGTATCTTAGTCATGTTTTAATAAATTCTGAAAGATGCTTGGGAACAAAGAATAAATCTGAGTCTCTTTTCCTCTTATTCGCGTAATAAAAACAAGAAGTTCATCGTTATACAATATTTAACGTGTTCAACTACTTCTTTACTCAACTAGAAGACAAGTCTAAACCTAAAAACTAGAAAGGAATTATTGCCTTCTGTCGTTCATTATTCGCAGAATGCAAACACGTTTTCATAAGATAAGTTAGAAATTTGTTCACTCATTTGTTATCAGTTTCGACGAAAGTGAAAACAAACAATAAAACTTCCCGACCCGGATGTACAAAATGCATATTATTATTCCGTTTAACAACGAATACAAATGCATCTTAACCAAAGAAATAGTGATTGTTTATGCTGCTCAAAGAATTTATGTTCTCAAGCGAATAAATTCTCTTTAAGAGAAATTTAGTGCCGTCGTGCAAGCTTAAGTAATTATTGAGTGGTTAAATCCACTTGACTTGCTTGTGTTCTCGCTTTTTTAACAGCTTTAGTTTTGCGTACTTGTGCATTACTTCGCACCTGCTCACTAAGTAATTCTGCTAAAGCTGAAGGAGAATAGGAATAAATAACGATGTTTCGCGCTGTCAAACAGCTTGCCTACAATCGTTCTCGTAAACAGGAATGCGTTATTGTCGGATCCATAAACATGCTTGGCGTCACATTCTTTAGTAGCTTGCCGCCGGAAGAAAGGAAATTCCCGACTTTTCATCTCTGAAGAGTTATGCTGGAACTTAAGTTGTCCAACTCCTGGTAATCGGAATGTTGAAAATAATAATAATAAATCTCGGTAAACCTTGGTAAAAGCAGATTAATGTTCTTATATCTTCTGTTAAGTGTAAATATGTGGAATACTCAAGTTAAAAAACAATAGAGTTAATGCAAAACCTGTGCGCAAAAATTCGTAAATCAATATTTAACAGTTTAAAACTAATTTTGAAAAATTTTTTCTGTAACTAATCCTTCCTTATGAGAAGGATCAACACCGTGAGCAACTGGGAAAATCTTGCTCTGCTTTCGTTTGTCTTGGCTATATAAATACTACACTAACACCAAGAAGTATATATCTGATATTCAAAGATAGATGAATCCCCGAATTTCTTTCAAGAACGTTTCAATTTTAACAATCTCTACAATATAATTTCTACAGTATAAACGGCTTAAACTCTGAATAAAAAAAGTCTTATTGTAGACACTAAATTTCTGCCGATAAATTTGTATCCTGAATCATCATCAGTTAAGCCAGAATGATATTTTTTTCCAGGTGAAGACTTTTATTTATTGCAAGCGAAATGTTTGGTAACTTTTCTCTGCTATGCAACTATGCAACTTTCTTCAACTTTCGTATAATTGGTAATGTTAAGTTGCCGAACGAAAACCAAAAACATGTCCATGCATCGAACGGGGTTTAAACCCGAGTCGATCTCCCATTGTTCAACAGTTTTATCCACCCGATCATTAGAGGGTCTTGAATATGGAAGAATAAACATTTTCTTTTGCACATAAACGCTCTCAGTTGTGGTCAGATTTTATAAATCTAACATCAGATCTCCAAGTTTCTTGAACTAATAATGTCTCTGATTATTTGTAAGTAAATATCATTTCATATAAGCAAAATATGCTATTAATGTTAGGCATTTTCCTTATAAGAAATAGCCCCACCCAATGGCCGAATGGCTAAGACTACTGAGTACAGGTAATTCGACTTGGTTAAGTTCGAACCCAGAAAACGGGCTGGCTGCATGGTTGGTTTCGTAGCTTTCCACATGTATAATGTCAATACGAGAAAAATTTCCCTCAAAACGTCTTCCACGAAGGCATTCTTTCTCTTCTGCAGACAGCCTTGTGAATTTGATAAATTCGAATAATCTAACACATATGCTACAAATCTGCTTAAATTGGATACAAAGTTTTTGTTATGTGTTTTATTCAGAATGTACGAGGGGGGGGAACTCTTTACGTGGACAACTTCGTATTAAGATCAGTTAGTGCGGGCTTAGAAAATGCAAAAGATCTTAGAAGGGGTATTAAAGAACGACAATCACAAGCAACCAAAGGAACTTGCATGACAATCAGTTGGCTTTCGTACTCGCACACGACAAACATAAATAACTGAGCGTTAATAATATTAAATATTGAGGGGATAAAGGGAAACAATGGTATTCTAAATAAAACTGAGTATGAGAAAAAAAGTGTTGATTAACGGTAAATAAAATCTGTTCCAGTTGACATTGTTTTTTGTTTTTATCTTTACACCGCATTTCGAGTCATTTGTAAGTAAGCGAGAAATATTCATACTTTTGCAAGTTAGTAATTTTTACGATATGCTATCAATATTTTGCTAAAAGTAACGATAAATGATTGCATAAATACAACATTTTTTGTGCCGTAAGGCTTTACATTTTTTTATTTATTACATGCTCCGTCTTTAGGAACTACAAGGAAAGGAAGCGATGGCCCGTTAAGGATTTTTTAAGAGAAACTGGATCGCATCTATGTTACACATGGGGAAAACCACGAAAACAATGAAGCTAGTCCCGACTCGAAACCTAGATCGAACTACTAGTGTTCAGGGGCTTTTACCGCTCGGCCGTTGGAGGGATTTGAATTTACACTGAAATCAAGCCTCCCAGAAAGGAAAGTGTTTAGTGATTATGACTGCTGCACCAAAGGGCCCAGGTTTGAATCCCGAAGAAGGCATGGATGTCAATTGTCTGTTCCTTCACAGGAGGTAACGGTGGCTGCCTGTTAGATGCCTCCATAATAAAATGACCACCGTTTCTGGCCTTAGTAGTGGCAGAAGCCTAAAATAGCTAGTGCATGCCATTAAAAATTAAAATTTAAAATCCCCATTGAAATTAAAATTTAAATAAATAGCAAACAGAGACAAAACTAAACTATTACCTATAACAGTACACAATATTTCACTTTATCATTTTTTCAGTTGTGCTGTTATTTACATGGACTAACAATGGAAGCATCATCTTAAATGGCGTTGAAATATGCATTTGAATAGCAGATTCGAATCTGAAATTATTATAACATATGACTCCCTCGTATTTTATCTCACCTTTTGTTGGAAAAGGGTTTAGGACTTAATAAAAACATAGGTATACTTTTAACTTAATTGGCATTTGATAAATCAACTAAGAAGTACTTCTTATTGTCTTATGTAACTCTCCAGGCTCTGGCTAATTTCAGTGTAAAAAGTAACTGAAGAAATTTTCCTTATTAACATTTACTCAATTTTTTCCCTTCCCCTTCGCTCAATGAACTATTCTGTATTTTTTTTGGGGGGAGGGAGGATGGGGTAAGAAAGAAAGAAATAAATGAATTATTTCTAATACTGAATGCAGCGATTATATATATATAAAGAGAGAGAGAGAGAAAGAGATCAGGAATAAAATTAAAATTTTGCCAAGTTGGCAAAATTAAAGATAGTATATCGTAAATACAATAAATAAATAGTATATCGTAAATACAATAAAGGATCTATAAGTCTAAATCAACAAAATAATATTTTGTTGATTTAGACTTATAGATCCTTTATTGAGGAATATTTAGTATCGTAAATAATAAATATTCCTCAATAAAGGATCTATAAGTCTAAATCAACAAAAACCGTATAATATAAACTTCTCACGGTAATATGCATAATGTGGTGTTTCGAATGAAATAAATATTTCATGTGAGTGTTTATATTAAGTACTTCCTAATAAAAGAATTAACGAAAGTTTAAACAAAATTCTAATTAAACATAATTTTACTGTAATTTACTTGTA